ACAAATAGACTTAGTAGATGTCTACAGACTGTTCCAACCACAGCATCAGAATACACATTCTTCTCAGCTGAACACAAGATGTTCTCCAAAGTGCAATGAATTGGAAATAAATGGCAAAAGAAAGCACAAAAATTTCATAAACACATGGAAATTAAATATCAGCCTCCTAAACAACCAATGGTTCACAGATGAAATTAAAGAAGAAATGAGACAGTTTCTACAATTAAATGACAATGCCAGTACAACATACTGGAACTTATGGGACACAATGAAAACAGTCCTATGAGGGGGAAAATTTATAGCAGTGAGCACCCATATCATGAGCAAACTCAAATAAACAACCTAATGTTAAACCTCAAGCTTCTAGAAAGAGAAGAGCAAGTTAAGCCCAAGAAGAAATTATAAAGATTAGAGCAGAAATTAATGCAGTGCAAACTAAGAAAACAATACAAAGAATCAATGAATTGAAGAGATATTTCTTAGAAAGATTAAGTAAAATCAACAAACCCTTAGCCAACCTTATCAAAACAGGAAAGAAGGGACTCAAATCCATGCACTTAGGAATGAAAAGGGTGAAATCACATCAGATCTTGCAGAAATCCAGAAGATGATCAACAACTACTTTGAGAATCTGTATTCTAATAAGATGGAAAACAGAAGAAATGAAAGATTCCTAGATACATATCAATTACCAAAGCCGAATCAAGAAGATATAGAAATTCTAAATAAGCCTATATCTGTCAATGAAATTGAAGCCATAATCAACTTGAAGCCATGATCAAAAACCTGCCAACAAAGAAAACAGATATTAATGGACATGAAAGATTGACAGATTCACTGCTGAATTCTATAAGAAATTTAGAGAAGACCTGATGCCAATATTTCTGAAACTCTTCAGTGAATTTGAAAGGGAAGAAATACTCCCAAATTCATTCCAAGAAGCAAGTTTCACTCTAATATGAAAACCAGAGAAGGATTCACCCAAAGAAGAGAACTACAGGCCAATCTGCCTAGTGAACACAGATGCAAAAATATGATTATCTCAATAGATGCAGAAAAAGCATTCAACAAAGTCCAGCACCCATTCATGATAAAAAAAAAAACTACAGAAAATCGGAACAGATGGTCTTTTCTCAATCTGATGAAAAGCCATCTATGACAAACCAACAGCCAACATCATACTAAATGGACAAAAACTGAAAGCTTTCACTCTAAAATCAGGAACAAGACAAGGATGGCCACAGTCTTCACTCTTATTCAACATGGTCCTGGAAAATTTAGCCATAGCAATTAGATAAGAGAAAGAAATAAAATGAGTAAGGATAAGAAAGAAAGAAATGAAATTATAATTATTTGCAGATGACATGATAATCTACATAGAAGACCCCAAAAACTCACAAAGGACTTATAGATGTAATAACACTAAATTAAGTAGTGTAGCTGGATACAAAATCAATAGCCTTCCTGTGCATGAATAACAAACTTACTGATACAGAAACTAGAGAAACAACACCTTTACAATAGCATCCAAAAAAATGAAATACCTAGGAATCTGTCTAAAGAAGGATGTAAAAGATCTCCACCTTGAAAACTACAGTGCTCTAAAAAAGGAGATTGAAGAGGATATCAGAAAATAGAACAATATCACTTTTCTTGGGTGGCAAGAACCAATATAGTGAAAATAACCATACTTCCAAAATAGTTATGCAGATTTAATCCAATCTCAATCAAAATTCCAATAGTATATCTCACAGAATTAGAGAAAACATTCCTAAAATTCATTTGGAACCAAAAGAGACCTAAAAGAGCAAAAACAATTCTGGGCAACCAAGACAAGGCAGGGGGCATCACAGTCTCTGACTTGAAACTATACTACAAAGCTACTGTGATAAAATCAGCATGGTACTGGCAGAAAAACAGACCTAAGGATCAATGGAACAGATTAAAAGATGCAGAAATAAGTCCAAACACACTCAGCCACCTTATCTTTGACAAAGGTGCTAAACACATTCAAGAGAAGAAAGATAACCTCTTTAATAAGTGGTGCTGGAAAAACTAGCTTTCCACATACCAAAGATTAGAACTAGACCCATATCTCTCACCATGCACTAAATTAAAATCAAAATGGATCAACGGTTTAAATATTAAAACAGAAATACTAAATCTGCTGGAAGAGAGACTGAGTAGAACTCTTGAAGACATTGCTGTAGGCAAAGACTTTATGAAGAAAACCCTGATTGCATGGGGAATAATACAAAAAATCAACAACTGGGACTCATCAAAAAGCTTTTGTACAGCAAAAGAAACCATCAACAGAGTGCACAGACAACCCACAGAATAGGAAAAAAATTTTAGCCAATTGTTCCTCAGACAAAAGACTAATATCTAGAACATATAAAGAATTGAAAAAAAATTACATCCCCCAAATGTAGAGACTCAGTCCAAAAAGGGGCATCTGAGATGAATACATACTTCTCAGATGATGAGGTACAACTAGCAAATAAATATATGAAAAAAAATGTTTAGCATCCCTGGCCAGTAAAGGGATGCAAATTAAAACAATGCTGAGATTTCATCTCACTCGAGAAAGAATGGCTATTATCAAGAAATCAACCAATAACAAATGCTGGAGTGGTTGTGGGGAAAAAGGAACATTTCTCCACTGTTGGTGGAAGTGTAGACTGATGCAACCACTGTGGAAATCAGTGTGGAGATTCCTCTGAAAACTAGGACTAGAGGTCCCATTTGACCCAGCTATTCCCCTTTTTAGGATCTTCCCAAAAGAATTAAAAGCATCATACCACAGCTGTATATGCTGTCTTAGTTTCTTTTCTCTCGTTACTGAGATAAAATACCTGAAGAAAGACTTATTCAGCTCACAGTTTGTAGAGCTTTCAGTCCATAGTTGGCTGACTCCATGGCAGGGTGGCACATGGTTGAGGGACAATCTTTCATGGTAGTGGAAGACAGCAAAAGCAACAAGGAGGCCATGTCTGCATCTTTCTGTCCCTTTTCTATTATATCTAGATGCTGGGATTAGAGTGGTGCCAAGTCAATCAGTGGACTGATTCAGTACTCATACATCCTTAATCCTAGTATCACACACCTAGATTCAGTTATCTCTGAAAAAGCCTAAGATTGCATGAGAGAACATCTAGACACAAACCACAACATATGTGCACACATAGCAGCACAATTTGTAATAGCTAAATCTTGGAAACAACCTAAATGCCTATCAAATAATGAATGGATAAAAAAGATATGGGTTTTTTATACAGTGGACTACTGTTCAGCCATAAGGAAGAATAAACTTGAGATATTTATAGCTAAATGGATGGAGCTTGAGACCATACTCATAAGTGAAATAAATCTGATACACAAGTGTAAATATCTCATTGTCTCTCTGGTGTGAGATACTAAAATGTAAATAAGAACCAGAATATATAATAGAAATTTTGAAATATGAAGCAATTGTTCAAAAGGAAAGGGGAACTATGAAGGGGGGTGGGAGAAAAGAAGGAAGGGAAAAGACAAAAAGGAAAAGGGAAGGGAAAAGAAAAAAAGGGAAAAGAAAAGAAGGAAAAAATAAAAACAAACCTTTGTAAACAAGCAGAGAAAGAGGGATTGAAGGCAGGGGAGGGGGATGGGAAAAAACAGTAATGAAGATTTATCATGTACAGATACAAATTCCCTATGATGAATGTGATCATATATATATATATATATATCCAATAAAGTTAATTTAAAAACCTATAGAATCATCAAATTCACATGAGACCGGGAGAGACCCAGAAGAGCAAAAGGAACTGTAGATAAAAGAAGCAAGGTAGGAGGCATCAAAACTCAGATTTCAAGTTATATTACAAACCTGTAATGATAAAAACAGCATGGTACTGTCACAAAAATGGATGTGTGGATCAATAAAACATACTACAGGATGCAGAAACAACCTCAGGCATATTCATCTATTTTATCCTTGATAAAGAGGCTAAAAACATATACTGCAGAAAAGATAGCTTCTTTATTTTTTTGTTTTTGAGACAGTGTCTCACTATGTAGTTCAGGCTGTCCTTGAACTCACTATGTAGCCCAAGATGGCCTTGAACTGATGGATATCCTCCTGCCTCAGTCTCCTGAGTGCTGAAATTACAGGCATGCACCACCATGCATGGCAAGATAGTCTCCTTAGTAAGTGGTTTTGGGAAAACTAGCTATCCACGTGTAGAAGTTTGAATCTATATATAGTTCACCACGTACTAAATGAAAATCAAAATGGATCAAAGATCCAAATGTTAAAACAGAAATGCTTCATCTGCTAAAAGATAAAATAGGTAAAATTCTTGAAGACAGAGGTATAGGCATACACAGGGACTTTCTGAACTGAATACCAACGGCACAAGAAATAGCACCAAGAATTAATAAATGAGATCACACCAAATTTAAAAAAAACTTCTGCACAGCAAAGGAAACAACCTATATAGTGAAGAGACAGCCTACTGAATGGGAAAAGAAAATTGTACCAGCTATTGTTCAGATAGAGGACCAATATCTAGAATACATAAAGTACTCAAAACCTTAGACCAGCCAAAATAGAAGACCCAATCAAAAATGGGAGGTGAAATAAATAGACATGTCTCAGAAGAAGTACAAATGGCCAATAAATACATAAAAAAAAATGTTTAATATCACTGGCCATTAGAGAAATGCAAATTAAAACAACACTGAGACTCCATCTTACTCTATCAAGAACAGCCATCCTCAAGAAATCAAAGAATAATAAATGCTGACAAGATTGTGGGGAAATAGGAATCCTACATTGTTGATGGAATGTAAACTAGTGCAATCACTATGGAAATCACTATGGAACCAGGTATGGTGGTACACGCCTGTAATCTCAATACTCAGGTGGCTGAGGCAGGAAGATCGCCATGTGTTCGAGGCCAACTTGGGCTACATAAATGAGTCCAAGGTCAATCTGCACTACACAGTGAGACTCTGTCTCAAAAAAAACAAAATCAAAGAGAAAGAATTGGCATGCAGCTTGCATGCCCGTCCTGCACACCTCAGCCGTGATGATCCACGGTTTCCAGAGCAGACACCACACCTTCTCCTTTGGGTCCTGGAAGCTGACGGCGGCCAAGACCCACATCATGAAGTCAGTGGATGTGGAGAAGTTAGCGGATGAATTACATATGCCATCTCTCCTGGGAATGATGTTTGGAGACAACGTTTTAAGAATCGAGCATGGTTCTGGCTTTGGGATTGAGTTCAATGCTACAGATGGTTTAAAATGTGTAAACAACTACCAAGGAATGCTTAAAGTAGCTTGTGTTGAAGAGTGGCAGGAAAGCAGAACGGAAGGTGAGCACTCTAAAGAGGTTGTTAAATCATATGATTGGACCTATACAACAGATTATAAAGGAACATTACTTGGGGACTGTCTTAAACTAAAGGTTGTACCTGTACCAGATCATACAGATACAGAGAAATTGAAAGTCAGAGAGCATATTAAATTTTTTGAAGAAGTTCTCCTCTTTGAGGATGAACTTCATGATCATGGAGCTTCAAGCTTCAGTGTGAAAATTGGAGTAATGCCTTCTAGCTTTTTCTGCTGTTGTGGTTTTTCTTGAGAACTGATGAGGTGCTTATCAGAATGAACAACACAAGGGTTTACTATGAGGCTGACAAGAACTATATATTATGAGAAAGCAAAATTGCTAATTTAATGCATGTTCCACCTTCCCTCTTCACAGAACCTAATGAAATATCACAGTATTTATCAATAGAAGAGGAAATTTGTGAGAAGCCAGTGTTTTCAGAAAAAGCCAATCCTAACAATACAGACTCACAAGAAAGCATACCTGTGGAATAGAATGTGATACAACATACACTCACTACGGAACCTGACTGGACCCCCTGGCTATTTGTAGGGGAGTATTTTATTATGCAAATTAATTGCTTTGTTTGTGTGCAGATTTTTTGTTTGTTTGTTTGTTTGTTTCTTTTTGTTTTTCTTCAGGTACCAGGAATTGAACTCACAACCTTGAGCTTGCCCCACAGGCGCTGTGCCACTGAGCTAAATCCCCAGCACCTGTGTGCAGATTTTATGTACCCTTAAAGGAATTAAAAATAAAATCTGCCTCTTGCAGGCAGATTCCACTTTAAAAAAAAAAGAGAGAGAGAAAGAATTAAACATACATATAAATGATACATATAAAATCCCAAATAGCCACAATCAAAACCTCTCCAGGTCGCATTATTGTCAAAATTCCAGAAGACTAACACAAACATGGAATTTTTCTCTCCCTTCCTTCCTTCTTTTCTTTCTTGTGGTGCTGGGGATAGAACCCAGGACCTTAATCATTCAAAGCAAGAGCTCTACCACTGAGCCACAAACACAGCTCCCTGGTTTGTTTGTTTTTTTAAGACAGGGTCTCACTATGAAATTCAGGCTGACTTTGAACTCACTTATGTAGCCCAGGCTGGTCTTGAACTCAATGATCTTCCTGCCTCAGCTGCCAACACCTGATACAAGAACAGAATCTTAAAAGCTGTTAGAGAGACGCAATGAGTCACTGGTAAAGGTAAATTCATCAGTGTTACAGCAACTTCACAACACAAACCTTAAAAGCCAGAACTTGGAGAGAAGTGTTTCAAGTCCTAAAAGAAAACAACTCACAACTGAGGTTTATATATCTGTATGGTGAAATTACAAAGTAAAAGACAAAAAACAAACCAGGAGAAAATATTTTTAATTTGCATTCTCAAGAAAGAACCACTTTTCTGAACATATGCAATCCTATTTACCTTTTATTTCCCCTGCAGAAGTGAAGATTGAAACCAGGGCCTTGTGCATGTGAGGCAAGTACTCCACCACTGAGCTACACCCTCAGTCCCTTTTATCTTATGTTGAGATAGGGTCTTGCTAAGTTCCCCAGCATTGCCTGAAATTTGAAATGCTCCTGCTTCAGCCTCCTGTATAGCTGGGATTACAGAAATACAGCACAGGGGCCAAGGAGGTAGCTCAGTGGCACAAGCACTTGCCTGGCAAGCACAAAGTCCTGAGTTTGATTCCTGGTACCAAAAAAAAAAAAAAAAAAGGGAAGTCTTTGATTCAGCACAACACCCAGCTTCTCATGTGTCAATTTTTAAAGGCCAGCAAATCAACACAAATTATACAAAGAATATGAATAGTCAGTTCTCAGAAAAGGAAATGCAAATGACTCTTACACATGAAAAAACTGATCCACTCATAACTAGAGAAATGCAAATTCTCTAATGCAAATTGCCAGGGGACATCTTGGTTTCTAAATATATTGCCCAATCAAAAGAACTAGAACTAAAGTTTCATGGGAAAACAGCTGACTCTAGGGTTAGGATGGGGAGAATACAAAACAAACCTCACAGTGTCACTAAATATGGAAATGGAAAAAAGCGAAGAGGGGGCAAATCAGTCCCCCACACACCAACTCATGTAGCTAAAACGCTCTGAGTGAAGGGGCTCCTAATGTCCAAAATGGAACCCCACCAACAGAACAGTGGGATAGTATTTAACTATAACCCAAAGAATAAAACAAATAAATGGAAGAGAAGGGGAAATCTTCCTTACAGGAGCATGTTAAAAAAAAAAAAACAACAGTCAACCTGGTATGTGGCACAGAACTATAATCCCAAGAGTCTGGGAGGCTGAGGCAGAAAGATCACAAGTTTGATCCTAGCCTGGGCAACTAAGAGACTTAGCAAGACCCTGTCTCAAAAGGAAAAAAAGAAAAAATAGAGCACTGCTTCATTCCAGATGCCACCCTGGCTGACAAACTCTGGGCTGGAGCCTGGCGATGATGAGCCCCTGAGGACCTCATATCCTGCTGGGGGGCAGGGACAGTGACACCCCGGGGAGCACTTCCTTCTTCTCCTCTTCCGGCCCCTCTAGTCCTGACATCCTATTTTGCTTTCTTTCATTACCCTTTTTGCAAACTGAGATATGCTTTACATGAAATAAAATGATCTGCTTTAAATGTACAGTTTGATGTGCTTTGACTCATATATGTCCCTGTGTAACCACAATCTCTCTCAAAGCAGAGAACATTCCCAGCACCCCAGGCTGCTGTCTCATCCCCCTACCCCAGGCAGCTACTGATCTGACTCCTGTCACTGTTGCTTCCTTCTGCCTGCTCTGGCATTTCATTAAAATGGAGAAAAGGGTATGTACCCTTCTGAATCTGGCTTCCTTCATTCACCAGAATCCATGTGTCCTGTGGTGTTTATCAGCAGTCCATCCTTTTTCCCCGCTGAGTAGTGTTCATTGTGCGGCTCTCCCCTGGTTTATTCCTTCACCTGCGGATGGACATGTGGTGGTTTCCAGGCTGGGTTATTAAAAGCAGAGCTGCTATGATACAGGTCTTTGTACAGACAGGTGTTTTCATTTCTACCGGTTAATAACCTGCAACGGGGTTACCCCGAAAGCCTAGGGAACTTCTGAAGAAACTGCTCAGTTGTTTTCCAGCGTGCTGGAATCATGGACACCCTAAGTCTGGGAGAGTTCCCACACTCTGCGTCTCACCCGCACCCCCAGCTGTTCATCCTTTCAAGCCGCTGCAGTGGGCACAAAGCACCTCGCCGCGTCCTCTTACGCTTGCTGCGTGCCTAAGGGTGTCGAGCCTCTTGTTATGTTTTCATCAGACATTTATATATCTCCTTCGGTGAACTGCTTGTTCAAATCTTTAGCCCATTTAAAAAACTGCCTTGTTTCCTTGTTACTGAGTTGCAGTTCAGAACCCTATTTTTAATAAATCAGAACCCAGATCTCCTCTCTTAGAACACTTACCAGGGGGCTGGGAGTAAAATCCAAACGCCAGGGTCTGCACAGCAGCCCACTCGGGCTCTGACCAGTGCTCAGCCCTCGGCCCTCCTTCTGCCTTGGATGCTGCCTGGCTGTCCTGAAAACCAGCCAGATCCTTACAAGGAAGCATCTCATTGAAGATTCCCTGGACTCTTTCCGAGCTTGCTCTCTTGACTCACCCCCTCAGGGGACAGCCGAGGCTCCTATGCACCTTAGACTTCTAGCTCTGCTGGTCAATGGACACTGAACATTAGGAAAGGCTTTGCTGAGGAAATGGCTTTGCAACATAGTCACTGAGGAATCAGGAGGACTTCATCAGATAAGAAGGTAGGCAAAGCAGGGAGAAGAGTCTGTACAAAGGCCCTATGGCAGGAGGGAGCATGGCTTGTTCCAAAAAAATGTAAGGATGTGGATGAGTGGGAGGAACAAAGGCGGAGAGGTTGTGTTTTGGCTATATCAGACCTGGAGCAGAGGGATGCCTGAGGTTTGGTTCGGTTTGGTTTGAGGGAGGGTGGAATTGACCAGGACTGATGACTTAAGCACTCCGCTGGCTGCCAAGGAAGGAAGCCAAGCGGGCTCTTACAGAGCCCTAAGGAGGCACGTGGAATTTAGAACCCAGTGCTGGTAAAAAGTGAGCACAGACCAGAGAAAGTTTTAGGAAAAGGAGGGAAAGATGGGCGGGACTTGGCCTGGGCGATGGACAGAGGGTGGAGGGAGAGAAGGACAATTCTGGCATCTCTGGCTCTCAAGGGCTGGGGGTGCCCTTCACAGAGGCTGGGCGCCAGCTGTAAATATGCGCGGGGCGGGGTCTTGATCACGGGTGCACACGCTGTGTTGATGCTTCTGTGTGTGTGTGTGTGTGTGTGTGCGCGCGCGCGCATATGAGAGAGACGGAGAGACAGAGAGACAGAGACAGAGGCAGAATATGAGGCTTCCGTTGGCGTCCGTCCATCTGGGAATCCCCGGCGTGGGATGCGCTGGGCAATGGGGCTGCAGAACCCAAGCCTGGGGCAGCCGACAAAGGCCCGGGAGAGTGGAGGGGAAGAGCAGGGACGAGAGGGACGCGGGCTGCACCTTGGGAGCCAGGGGAGGACGGAGCGGGGGTCTCCGCTGTGGAGACGCCCGGGTTCCAGGTCTCCGACACTGGCCCCTGCGGGAAGCCGGGCCGAGGCAGCGTGCAGACCGCCTCTGGGCAGAGACAGACGGCCCGGAGCTCCGACGGGGTGTTCCGGGAGGCAGCAGGGGCCGCGGAGGCCAGGGCGGCGGGAGGGGAGCGGAGGGCTGCGCCCCCGGCGGCGGCGGGGG